ATGATATCGAGAAATTCTACATTTAATTGTCTAAACAGACGGACTCTCTAAATTAAAAATGTATGATCCTTGTGGTGGAGGTGAAGAAAAAGACTAGACGAAACTACAAGTATATATTTTTACTACATTCTTGTTCTGCTCTCTATCTATTTCTTTCTTTAATCTTCTCTACCCTTGTATATATATATATTGATACAGTGGTACAGTTGTACATTTAAAAAGTTTCAGTTGTACTTTGCTGTTGAAAATGGCTCTAAGACGAGCCCGAAACGTTGAGTTTATTATTCAATAAAGAATATATAGTTAATCAATTATGGCTGCTTTTCTAAAATATTATTTATTCCGATTATTGGCTCTAACGTCATCTAATTACAATGTTATTGAGTCACTTAAGTTCGGCCTACTTTTACGGTACAAACGCATGCTTTATATCCCGTTTTGAATCAGAATATAACCCAGTTAGGCATACACCGATTAATAAACAATATTAGGGCATTCAGCAGAGTCGTTCCAAATCAGTTATAAAAAAGCTCCTAGAGCTGCCGAATGTCTCATTTTGTAGGAAAATGTTTGCTCTACCAAACTGAAGTGCTAAAAGAATTTTAATGTTATCCATAGAGAAAATACAATAAATCGAAAATGCACTATAATCATAGAAAAATGATAGATAGTCGCATTTTTCGCAATTTTGCTCAGTTTTGGATGCTTATATGTCTGTCGCCGATAACACTAAAATGTCTTTTTTACTTCAGTTTGGGAGAGCAAACATTTTTCTACAAAAAGCGACATTCGGCAGCTCTAAGTGCTTTTTTTATAATTGATTCGGAACGACCTTGCTGGATGCGCTAACATCGATTATTAATCGGTGCATGCCTAATCCCGATCAGAATATGCTTCCTCACGTTTTTATGAAGGTAAATGATATTAAGGTTAAAAAGTTGGGATCCAGTGTATTGTGGAACCCATTATTACCCAATGTTATTGTACAATATTATTGAGTGACCAAACATTATTGATCCCAATAGATTGGGTATACAACAATATTAGGTGAGGGTGGACACCGAATATGTTAATTTCTGATTGATATGAAGTTCTGGGTGCCTGGAAGTCATTTTTATGCGAAAAGAGAGTACCCTCAACGGTAGTAGTTACATGTCCGCCTGTTCTGTAGAAAATGCATACTATGCCAATGGAAGTAACCGGGATAGAGGTTCCTTGTCTAATCAAATGGATATGAATGTAGTGAAAACTGATTATACCTGGACAAATACAAACATAATTTAATGGATTTTTCTCATTATCGTTAATACAAATACCATCATTTTCACAGTAGGCACATTTTTGAATGTTATGATCAAAATAAAAACATTCGCTATCATGTGTTTGATCACATAAACAGAAATATTGTTCATCATAGAAACATACTAAATCGATATTTTCTCGACATGGTTTTTGATAATATTTAATACGCCTTAATCGACTGAATTTCATTACAGTACTGTTTAGAATTTCTTGTACATTTGGACAATAATTTTGTTGAACTACGGTTGTATTCAAAATTAAGTCATTTATCCATTGTCTGTTTGTTGCATTTAGTAAAACAATAAGATAGTATAAACCGTATGGATTAGATATCCGATCAGGAAACATTTGTAAATAAACAACATCGAATGCAGTTGACTCATAAAATACTGTCAGCATCTGTTTATAATTAATATTCTGGTACAATTCTCTTTTATTATATTCATGTAACGATCCTAATGGACCGGTAGTCGCTGGAACAAAATGAATAACAACTGCCGGCATTTTATCTATGTTACTGGTACTGATGCTAACGTTGTCGTAGTCGAACATAATATTAATTCGTCTTGATTTCTCTTCACAACTAGAATCACTTGTATATCCTTCTTGACAAATACATGCATATTGTTTATCACTGTCTTTGTGAGTACTTATATCGGTCAATGGCAAACATGTAGCATTATTATGACAAGGATTTTCACTACAAGCATTAAATTTTACATTACAAAATGAACCAATCATATTTAATGGACAAATACATATGGGAAGGGATGATTTTGACCGTTGCCTATTAATATATATTGAATTTTTGGAACACATTTTTGTTTTTTGCTCATATAGCTTATCAACTTCATTACATAGTTCACCGATCCAGCCGTCAGAACATTTACAATTCATCGAGTTAGCATAGGGTACACAAAAGCCATGATTACACCGAACTTTTTGACAAATATGTTTATTTAGGGCATTCATTTCTGTAGGAATAGAGAGTTTTAATACTAATTGTTGTACAGGTAAAAATGAAAATAAAATATCATAATACCATGTTGTTATGAATTCTAAATTGTTTTCTTTCATAACAAGTGAAGTCCGATAAAATCGACTTTTTAAAATCGCTCTGAAGTGCAAGTGCAAGCAGCGCCCACCGATAAGATATAACTCGATAGAAAAAATTTTATTTATAAATCGAAAAAGTGTATTTTACTAGTACCGGATTTTCTATAGTATTTATATATGGGTTAAAACTTATATCTACGGAAAACATTTTCGGTGTTCCCAGTCAATCTGAAACGGGCAGGGTGGATGTAAAACTCGCTTTTCTACAATTGTAGAGATTTTCGATGTTTTCAGTATAGTCTGTCAGGACCATATTTGCACATAAACCTTGTTGGTGTACTGGTCTGAAGTTCCCACATATTTTTGATTTTTGAATGATCTAAATTCGAATTCAGCGTCGAAAACCGCATCTAGATGTTATACAGAGACAATTGATTAACCCTACAAATGTCAGCGCAATAGGTCTTTATAGTCGAGAGTATTACTCTTGAAATAGGTAACGTTTTTCAATTTTCCACGTAAAAATGTTTTTATATGACATTTATATGTGATTTGTGATCAGCGCAGCCGATCTATGTTTCTGGAATGATTTTAAACTTTATCTTAACCCTTTACCCCCGGATGTCCACACTCGTGTACAAAAATAACGAAGCGTCATATCAGAACCGAATTTAGAGGTCCGAAGTGAAGTGTAGATCGAAACTATAGTATTCTATCTCAGAATGATATAATGGGAATTTATATTCTCGATTTCGTTCTGGTTCAAGATTAAAGCTTAAACCAGAACCGAATTTTGTTCCAATCTTAGATACTTCATCAGCTCTCGATAGGTAAAAAAGAAATTTTTTTCGATGGATCTTGACTGAGATAATTAACTTTTGTGATTAAAGAGTATCACATTTTTGAATTTTTTTTAGAAGCTTTTTCCATAGTTTTAGCCATTCAAGGATTTTCAGATGTGGCGGTGGATAACTATTTCTACAAGGATCCTCTCTATAATTGCACAAGAAAAGAAATTTTCTGTGAA